GGCTGACGTCGCAAAACTGGTGTGCATGCAGCAGTAGCTCACGCGCAAAAACGGTCGACGTCATCTATGAAAAAAAAAAAGCAGTACCATAAGGAGTGACAAATAAACCTACGTGACGCTGACAGACTTCTAGAAGGGAACTGAGTCGTCGTCTGTATGAATGTTAAGGTTTGCCGTCGGATCACACAAACGTGCACTCAACCGAACGGTATACGTTCGAATCGTCTTCAAAAACAGTGCTCAATTCTCGCCTCACGCAAGCGACGTAAGTGTGTAAAAACTCGCAGGTTTTTGCTTGACCAGAGTAGGCCTAACGCGATTGGTAGACTAGTCGACAAATCAGCTCGGAGTATTAGACAGACCTCTCGTATGCACATTCCTAACAACTTCCTGGACGTTGCGAACGTTTACTGGCTGTTAGCCGCGCCTACAGAAAATCATCGGCAGTCTGACGATTTAGAGTTGCCTGAGAGTGACGATGTAATCGAAACTTCGTCGATTTCCTTTAGCGTTTAAAATCATCGCGGTCATTCCGCTCAATCTACAAGCGTGATGGCGTTGGCAAAAGCATCAGCGAGCCGTATCGCAGAGACCAAGCCGCGACAATGACGCAAAGTGAGCCGTTCGACCTGAATGTTTGGCATTTGTCGGTTACCGCTTCCTTCACTCATACCGATTTGGTGACGTCACAGACGCCGACGACGCTACCGATACATCGCACGATCTATGTCAGTCGCCGCAAGCATCACGTTAACATTGTCAGAGGTCGAACACATTAAAAAGACTACACGTGCAAAAATATGACCTCCGAGATTTCGTGTCCACTTTTTTGCTACAGATCTCGGAGACCACGTAGAGGAGGAATCTCATTTCGTGAAGCTGTACGGTCGCCATGCCCACTTTTGCATCGGGTGTATGTAAAATACAAGAGCAAAGAAAAAAAAATACACAGCTACAGTACAGCACCGTTAAGAATTTCGACCCACTGTTGACAGTTTCTCAACGATTTTTGAGAAAAAGGTCTTGGTCAGTCTCACTTAAACACTCCAGCATGCGCCATGAAATCGTTGGCGATCACACTTTGTACAACCACTACGAACTGTAAACCCTAAGAACACTGGAAACGAAAGGCTATAGAGAGTGACAAGATAAGTTACATTCATAGTCCAAAGAAACTTCACAGCAACCAGAAGAGTGTCTATAGTCCGTGCTCTACAACCACCGCTGAAAAAAAAAAAAAATGCCAGTTCCATTTTTTTTCAGCTCTTAACAACTGACGAGATGCATCTTTTTTGGAAGCGTAAATGTCTGTACACACGCGAGAGGGTTACAATATTTTCACAACGCTGCGCACGTCATCGTCAAAGTTTCGTGCCGAACACTGCACAAAGGACTGCGTGAAAAAAAAAAAAAAAAGGAGATAGACGATGAACACACAGGAGGGGCACTATCACGACTTGCACATTTCGCTTGAGCAAGAACTGTTCCAGTCATCTCGAGTGTTGTGACGCGTGAGTTCGAGGGATCAGCCACAGCGTACACACACACACACGCCGGTACACAGTGACGTTCGCACAAAGATCGAACGTTCCTCGTGATCCGCCGGCGTGAATGCACCTCAGTATGCACCAAGAGTCAGAAATAAAACATAAATAGCACACATATCCATTTTATAGAAAGAACATTGAAATATGACTTATAACCAGTGGTCGCTACAAATGAGGGGCCCCCAAAATCCCTTCTATGTACACCTTTCTCTCCTTCCTCCTTTATTGATACCACCCACGCCCTTCTTCATGAACCTGCATGCTAGACAGATGACCGCAGCAATAAGGGAGATTACTGTTAGCGAAATCTGGTAATATATACGTTAAGGTGGCAGTAGGTAAAACAAGATTACCCCGGGGTTCTCCATCGAGCAACCTATACCCCCGCACCCCGAACTGTGTGGCTGGAACCACCGCGGTTTAAAAGAGTAGAACGTCAGTTGGCATTGTGCGTGCGACCAGAAGTCGTAATAGACGAAGAATGGCCGCATCTCTTTTCAATAGTTTGCGAGATGTAGTACAGAGAGCACCAAGATGAAGGGGTGGTTCAAACTTTAGAAAGCTGCATTTAATCCTCAAGTCTGACAACAAGGAACGCGCGATTGGTTCGTTTCAGTTCAATAATTGTCTCTGGTTTGGAAAGCAAAAGACGAGGCGGGCTTACGCGTAGCCGATCGCGATGTCCATTCAAACGAGACAATTTCGAGTGATGCTACATTAATCCTAGCGAATGCATAGTAAGAAGTCAAGATAGAGACTTTGTAGGTATTTGGATGTTTCGTTATGACAGCTAGATTGCCACTATCCCTGAAGAGGAAGGTATATAACAGCTGTATCTTGCCGGTACTTAGCTACGGAGCGGAAACCTGGAGACTTACAAAGAGGGTTCAGCTTAAATTGAGGACGACGCAGTGAGCAATGGAAAGAAAAATGGTAGGTGTAACCTTAAGAGATAAGAAGAGAGCAGAGTGGATTAGAGAACAAACGGGGGTTAAGGATATTATAGTTGAAATAAAGAATAAGAAATGGGCATGGGCCAGACAGGATAACCGCTCGTCATTAAGAGTAACAAACTGGATTCCCAGAGAAGGAGAGCGGGTTAGGGGGAGACAGAAGGTTAGGTGGGCAGATGAGATTAAGAAGTTTGCGGGCATAAATTGGCAGCAGCAAGCACAGGACCGGGTTAACTGGAGGAACATGGGAGAGGCCTTTGTCCTGCAGTGGACGTAGTCAGGCTGAAGATGATGATGATGGATGTTTCGTTTCTATTGTGCACAAGAGACATGTTCCTGACTGTCATGCGAGGCAGTGACCAGGTGTTGTCAAAGCCGCAAGCTCAGCTTCCAGTTTCAACGCAGTCAGCCATGCCATTTGGTGGAAGTTAGTCCTGGTGCTTACGGCTGTAGCCATATGCGTGCGTACGAGGGGGCAGGGTAGTGACCTAAAAAAAAGGGGGGGGGGGCGCAAAATCTGCCCCATTCATTGACTTAGTGGTGATAGGAAGTGCTGCGATGACCCCCACCTAACACCCACTATCTTGCACTTGCAACGGCCATATATTCGGACTCGGGAGTCACTGCAGCCTTGTCGATCTATGCTCCGCCACAGCCCGAGCCGAGACGTCGTGAACTCGCGCCTGGCCGAAGTACAAACAGCGACATCGTCTCGCACTGCTGTTGCTTAACGAAACCTTCATACTGAGACCTTGCAACCTACACAGAAAAAGCGGTTTGACTGATTTAATAAGTATTCCTTTCATTTTCCCACCAATGCGCTGTTTTCGAAAGACACAGTAATGTCCAATGCGCTGTTTTCGAAAGACACAGTAATGTACGAATAACCGCGAATGCACAGTCGCAATTATTTTATTTCAGCGGGATGCCGAACAGTCTTGTATTTTAGACATCGGGTAAGGCGCCGCCTTTGTTCTGCCTATGTGCTTAAGTCTCTCGCCATTAAACAACAACGCTTCAGGAGTGATTTTGTTCTCCAGCGTTTGTATAGCTCAAGTAGAAAAAAAAAGAACAACTAGAGTGGGGGTACGCCTCTAACTGTTTATATCAAAGATGAACCAGGGCCAAGCGAAAGAAATCTGCTTACCGTTTGAAGTTGTTGAGGTGTGTAGCACGCTAAGTGGGGGAACGTTTTAAAAAAAATGATCACCTAAGCATGGCTTCTGAGATGACTCATCATGACATAACATTGCGGAGCGTCAGGGTAGCAGTACTGAAACTAAAAGTTGCCGGGAAGCCAGCAACTTTGTTTTTTTTGACCAGACAGTAATTAGTGCCACATGTAAGTGATCGAAATGTTGCTAACGTGGCCTATGGTACCTTTAGACACCAATACCGGGCTATGGTAACGTGGTGGAACGTCGTGTCTGTGCTGGGTTTTGAAATGAGAAACTGTTGGCGAGCTGGCGAGTCATTTTTTTTTTTCAGAGTATCATCATTTTGGTTAGCGGCTCCAGGCAGCGAACAGTGCTATACGTGTACAATATATAGACTGGATAGCTTCATGGAAATGTTGCAAACGCGGTCTGTCGGTACTTTTAGAAACACTCAATCAGTCGCTACATTGATGTTTCGGTAACCTCGAATCGGCGGGAGAGACTGAAATTCGGCTATTACGGGGAGAACAAAAAATCAAGCATAACTTTGCAGCCACACACGCTAACAGGTTAGGATGAAAACGGTAGAGATGGCAATACAACACACAGTCCTGTACAGTGAAGTGATAAGCTATAGACAACGCAGAGCTACACGTAAAGAAGTATTGATTCAGCAAAACGGATCACACTGATGGCGCTTCGTATCGTATATGTGCATAACCCTTTTCTCTTTCCTTCAGGGAGGTGAATGAGGCCGAGGGGCGTTGAAGACGGAAGAGAACTGCAGATTCGGAGCACGTTCATTTCACTGGTGCCACGTGTGCGATAGTCTATTGATTAAGAAAAAAAAAAATGCACGAGTCACAGTTCATGAGGGCGTGGCGGTGTAGTGCGGTTTTGATTCTCGAAGGAAAGGTCGGCGTCCCGAGGCAGCGCTGGTTATAGCATTCGCCGAACACAATCTGATATGCCTTGACGAAGTTCTTTGCCACGTGGCTCGACTAGTTTCAAGCACAGTAACGTTGGGACATTCATCCTCCTCGATTTGATGGCGCCTCTTAACAAGAGGGTCCGATGCCATCAGACTGACTCAACAACATGCCCGTTTCAGTTAGCCCTAACGAGTAGACAGCGAGGAACATTCAGGGACGCTAACAATCACTGCGTTCCTGTTGTTAGTTCTTGCTTTCGTACGTTTCCAGCTCAACATTTCTTCGCGTTCTTCGCCAGAAAAGCAACGTTCAACGCCATTCCCCGTGACACGGCCTTCGGCACTTCTTGAGGTCGGTGTTCCGAGGCTCGAAGCTGGCAGTAGCAGCCACACTTTATATTGCAACAGCCCGTTTTTTTTTTTGGAAGGCTTTATCTCGCAGTGGTCGTAGAGTCGATACCAGTTGGGGAGGAGGAGTAGCAAACCTTTAAAACTTGCAACATGGCAATGGCAAAGAAAGCAGAACGAACTTGTGCGCCGAGTTTTGTCATCCCTTTTTTCCCCCTTTGGGGATCCTTTGCAGACCGGTGGGCGAATTTGGGACGTAGAAGGAAGCGAGGGATTTCACCAGATGGACGTTGTGCGTCTCAGTGCGCATGCGCAAAATGTGCGGCGCTTCCGTGGCAACTCGCTGGTATTCAAAAGAGGCACGTGGCTCAAAAGCTCATGCGCCGTACGACACGTCCGTTATCGCGTGTAGTCTGCCAAAACGCACCGTGTCGGAGGCGAAAGCGCATCCAAAGGTGTTCATCCAAGTGACACGAGATTTGGCGCGCGCACCACACACAAACGGGCAGTCGCAGTGGCATCGAGGTCAGACGCGTCGTCTGCTGCGACTTGCAGAAGCTGGTGCCTAAACGTAGAAAGCAACAGCGTGCTTGTGCCTGTTTTTCTTGTTTTCTTCTTCAGCTGGCTGCAATCGGCAGTGGTGACGGCATTGGCGGCGGTGGCGTGCGGTGCGTTTCAAACCCAAAAGCAGGACGAGGATTTCGCGAGAAGCGTGGCGGCGAGCAGAAGAGCAAGTGAGGCGGTCTGCGATGCGCTGGCGCGACCACATTGCCTTTTCAGTTCGGCCTCCTGCGAGAAAGAAAAGAACACATAATAAGAGATATTTAGTGACAATTTCGCGCTAAAATGCAAGAAATCAGTACGGACTGTGTTCGCGATGTGATGACCCTGTATGAACTGGACTATGCCCATAGACTATACGCTCATATCATTCATGCGTAAAACGTAAACGACTATGTCTATTTAGGACAGGTAATAGCTGCGGAGCCGAATCACAAGATTGAAGTAACTAGAAGAATAAGAATGGGGTGGGGCAATCACTCTATAATCATGACTGGTAGATTGCCACTAGCCCTGAGGAGAAAGGTATAAAACAGTTGCATCTTGCCGGTATATACTTGCCTACGAAGCAGAAACCTGGAGGCTTACAAATGGGGTTCAGAATGAATCGAGCACGACGCAGCAAGCGATGGAAAGGAAAGTGATAGGTGTAATCTCAAGAAACAAGAAGAGAGCAGAGTGGGTCAGGGAACAAACAGGGGTTAAGGATATCATAGATGAAATCAAGAAAAAGGAATGGACATGGGCCGGGCACGTAGCACGTAGGCTGGATAACTGCAGGTCATTAAGGGTAAATGACTGGATTCCCAGAAAAGGCAAATGCACGAAGGATAGGTTGATAGCTTGGCGGGCCGATGAGATTAAAAAGTTCGTAGGTATTCGCAACTCTAACTAAGCGCTGGCCACCTAGCAGCCGCACCTGAAAACAGCGCCAACAGGGTCAACCTTTAAAGAAAGATAAGTTACCACGTTGCGCGCGCTTAGAAGCGCGCCGCACAGTTCCTTCATTTTCACCATGCCGCATGCGCGAGCCCGAAAAAGGAGTAAGCGATGCCCAAGGACCATTGCAGTGTGCCGCATTGCGTGGAATTACGGTGGAAAGATAGAAACGTATCGCTTTATCTCTTCGCGAATGATGCAGGTGACGTGCAACGAAGAACACATTAGAAAGAAAGGGACGGATACTACGGTAGTCTGTTCTAATCGATTCGTTCACGACGACTTAATTCTTCTCGGTCAGTGCACTATTATCTATAGCGTGTGTGCATTCTCATCGATATTCGGGCTTCTCTAAGCACGTCAGCACGTCTATGTCAGCCAGCGCTTTAAGAAATTTGTTGCGTCAAGTGTGTGACTGTATTTTTCGCATATGCTTGTTTTCTGCGCAAGTCATAGTGTTCCCCATTCTCAAATTAAGCTGCTGTAATCCTTCCCCCGAAAATTTTTGTGTGTGCATAAACGCACACAAAGGCGTGCACGAAGGTAGCGCGTGCTTAGCGTGCATGTATGAATGTGCGTGCATTCGTAGCACGCGTAGTGTGCCTGCGCATATCTGCTTTGACTATCAACAACTTGCAACACGAACAAGCCAGTGTTTGGAAGCACACGACCTTAATTGATTAGAAACTTAATAACATGGATTGCGAACCAAAAGAAAGGAGCACACCTATTACAATCGAAATTACGATTTGCCTTATCTCAAGATACACTGGCCCAGGCATAGTTCTGCTCTACATGTAATCAGGTGAACGGCATGCGTATTCAGCTTTTGACGGGAGAACGGAACTAAGTGGGACACATGCAATCGGCAGCACGAGTCCTTTTAGAGAGGTCCGCTACACAACGTCGGACTCGGTGGGCAGGCTCTGTAATTTGAAGAGCATCTGATATGGCTCGCTGAAGACGTCGCGCGCAGCACCCCTATTTCTGTTGTTTCGCCAGTGAAATCTTTTATGCCGATGAGAATGAGGTGGTCCGCGGCCGGCACCCTTTTGCCTTCGATGAAGCAACGCGATCCGACGTCACATGCAATCAAGAAACTTCAGCACGGCGTCAAGCGCAATTGCCGCATTGAGCCTGTTGAGAGCAGCCATCTTTGTGTTTTTGACCAGTGCTGCCAGCGCACGGAGCGTTTTCTGGAGTTGCGATAACGTGGCAGCAGAAAGTACAAGACCGAGTTGATTGGCGGATCATGGAAGAGGCCTTTTCCCTGATTGATTGATATGTGGGGTTGAACGTCCCAAAACCACCATATGATTATGAGAGACGCCATAGTAGAGGGCTCCGGAAATTTCGACCACCTGGGGTTTTTTAACGAGCACCCAAATCTGAGCACACGGGCCTACAACATTACCGCCTCCATCGGAAATGCGGCCGCCGCAGCCGGGATTCGGACCCGCGACCTGCGGGTCAGCAGCCGAGTACCTTAGCCACTCGACCACCACGGCGGGGCCTCTTCCCTGCAGTAAGCGCAGTCAGGCTGATGATGATGATACAAGCGTATGTACAGTCACCCCCACAACAACGCATGGAGTCTTTATATTGCCACAGACATGGAACGAGGTTCAGCCATGCCAATGCGAGTATGTGCCATGGTGTGAAAGAAGAGGACGGTTGGTGTGCTCGTGCTCTAATGTTCGGTTCGGCTCGACGTCCAGTGCTGCTCCTGTGAACAAACGTTGTGGTCGTTCTGGAATCACGTGACATTTTCAAGTGGAGGTGCTGGGTAGTGTTGTATGCACTGCAATCAGCAGCAAGGTCCCGACACTAGTCGCGACTTTGAAGAACCAGCTGACCTACGGCGTAGCAGGCGACAACTAGGCCTACCTCCTGAATTCGGACCATTTCCACAACTCGGCAGTACTATGGCTAGTGCGGGAACGCAAACCCAAGAAACATCAACGCAGCCTCCTCCATGGTTCTTCAACGTCCCGCGAACCCTGAAGCCGTTCCACGGTGACCCTTACGAGGACGTCGACGACTGGCTTGACGACTACAACCATTGCGGCAGCGTCAACGAGTGGAACGAGCAGCGAAAGCTTCGGTATGTCTACTTTTATCTCGAGGACTCTGCGCGCACTTGGTTCAAAAACCATGAAGCCACTATGAGAACCTGGCCAGAGTTCTGCAACCAGTTGCGAAATACCTTCCGAAGCTCTGACCGAAAGGAGCAAGCGGAACGGCTCCTCAATTCCCGAAACCAGCGTCCGAACGAGAGTGTTGCCATGTTCGTGGAGGACATGTCGCGGCTGTTCAGGCCAGGTGACTCCTCAATGACGGAAGAGAAGAAGGTGCGCCTCCTAATGCGGGGAGTGAAAGAGCAGCTGTTCGCGGGACTAGTGCGGAACCCTCCCAGCACTGTAGAGGATTTCCTCCGCGAAGCCACGACAATGGAGAGAATGCTAAGGCAGCGTTCGTACTAGTATGAGCGTCCTGGCAGTCTTTCGTCAGTGTCGTCGGCCCTGCCAACACCTGACGTCACGACCGTAAAAGACCTGACGGAGCTCGTGCGCAGTATTGTGCGCGAGGAGCAGCAAAAGCTGCACGTGGTGTCTTCTCCGCCCCATGTTGCTGCTCTAACGGATGTCGTTCGCGAAGAGGTCCGGCAGCTGGTGCACCCCATGACGACTCTGCGTGCAGCCGAAGTCCAACCCATGATGTCCCCGCGTCCAGCCGAAGCTCCGCTATTAACGTACGCGGAAGCACTACGTATGCCTGCACCGGCTGTTGGCTATCCGTCCCGTCCGTCCACCCTGCAGACGGCACCGTCGTTCTACTCGGGACCACCGCAGTACGGCAACCCACCCCTTACACGGAAATCCAGTGTATGGCGTGCTCCCGACAACCGGCCTCTATGTTATCACTGTGGTGAACCAGGTCACATCTACCATGAGTGCGCCTACAGGCACATGGGTCTTCCTGGCTTTCGTCCGGATGCTCGTCGACCCAGAGATGGTGAGCGGACCCGTGCTATCGCCGAATACTTGGCAAGCCAACGATCCTCAACCCTTCCGCGTCGCCAATCCCGCTCACCATCTCCACGGCGTTCTACGTCACCTGGCCAACAATTGACCTTTGCGGACGTCCTTGCAGGAAGATCGCCTAGATCCACAAGCCCACGCCGGGGAAACTAAGAACAGCGACCTTTGGGGGTGAGGCCGCTGTTGATCGACCGTTACAAGACCCTCCCCCGATTTGCCTGCCGACATCCGACGACATTTTTTCACCGACGTGTGCCATCGACGACAAACGGGTCTCTGCTCGTATCTCTGTCCTTGTCGACAACCACCCGCTGACCGCTCTGGTAGATACGGGTGCCGATTATTCTGTTATAAGCGCTGACCTCGCTGCACAGCTAAGAAAGGTAACGACACCCTGGGGACATGGAACCAATCTCCGGACGGCGGGAGGTCACCTATTGACACCGCTAGGAATGTGCACTGCCCGCCTCCGAATTCGTGAGTCGACGTACATTGTTTCCTTCGTTGTATTGCGCGAATGTTCCCAAAACCTGATTCTCGGAATGGATTTTCTCCGTGAGCATGGAGCCATTATTAATCTTCGCGACCTGCTCATAACGTTATCTAACGACCATACAGCCCTACGAAATGTCTTGCAGTTGCACCGACCACAACACTTCGAATTGCTGACGACACCATCGCACTGCCGCCGCGAGCCAGTATGTTGGTAACTGTGGAGAGCGACTGTGACAACAAGAGTAGTGGCATCGCGGAAACTAACCTCTCGGTGCTCTTGGCTCGGCAGATTTGTGTCGCGCGTGCTATCGTCAAACTGAAACATCGGAGGACTCAGCTTCTGATCACGAATTTCGGCGGCCAGTACCAACACTTGGCAAAGCGAACAGCGATCGCGAACTTTGAAGCCATCGATGACGAAGAATGTTCCACTATCGCTCCGATTGCCACTGCTTCCGAAGGTAACACTGCATTAGCCAGTACAGTTGACGTGAATTGCCAGCTATCCTGCGCGCAGCAACAGCAGATACGCATGATTTTACGTACGTATAGTGACTGCTTTGCGTCCACCCCCAAAATCAAGCAGACCCCAACCGTGAAGCACCGCATTATAACGGACCCTACCGAACGGCCTGTACGACAGCACGCCTACCACGTGTCGCAAAAAGAACAAGAGGCAATACGTTTTCAAGTGAAACAGATGCTCGACGACGACGTCATCCAACCCTCGAACAGTCCATGGGCGTCACCCGTCGTACTTGTTAAAAAGAAAGACGGCACTCTTCGATTTTGCGTCGATTACCGGAAGCTCAACAAAGTGACGAAGAGAGAGGTCTACCCTCTCCCACGCATAGATGATTCACTGGATCGAATTCGACATGCCCGATATTTTTCCTCAATGGATTTACGCAGCGGCTACTGGCAGATCGAGGTCGATGAACGTGACAGGGAAAAAACAGCATTCATAACTCCCGATGGCCTTTACGAATTCAAAGTGTTACCATTTGGATTGTGCTCTGCACCGGCAACGTTCCAAAGGATGATGGACACCGTCCTGTTCGGTCTGAAGTGGGAATCCTGCCTCGTGTATTTAGACGACGTCGTTGTTTTTTTCCAAAACATTTGAGCAACATTTACAACGACTTCAGTCCGTCTTCGCCGCTATTCGATCCGCAGGCCTATCGCTAAAACCGGAGAAGTGTCATTTCGGCTAAGAAGAACTAAAGTTCCTCGGCCACCTTATCAGTCACGATGGCATTAGAGCAGACCCAGAAAAGACCATGGCTGTTGCTGCATTTCCTCCACCTTCGAACAAACGGGATTTGCGCCGGTTTTTGGGTCTCTGCGCCTACTGCAGGCGCTTTGTCCAGAGCTTTGCCAACATCGCTGAACCCCTTACCCGTTTAACGAAGGAGGATACTCCTTTTGTGTGGGGTCCAGAGCAGAGAGCCGCTTTTTCCCAGCTTCAGCAGTGCCTTCAGAGTGAACCCTTACTAGGGCACTTTGATGAAGATGCTGCCACCGAACTTCACACTGACGCAAGCAACATCGGTCTTGGTGCAGTGCTCGTCGAGTGGCAAGACGGCGCTGAACGTCCCATCACTTATGCTAGCCGCATTTTGTCATCTGCGGAAACTAACTACTCGACCACGGAGAAGGAATGTCTTGCCGTTATTTGGGCGATAACAAAGTTCCGACCGTATCTGTATGGCCGTCCATTCAGAGTAGTTACGGACCATCATGCCCTCTGTTGGCTGGCCAATCTCAAGGACCTTTCAGGGCGCCTCGCGAGGTGGAGCTTACGCCTTCAAGAATTTGAGGTTACAGTCGTCTACAAGTCGGGCCGCAGGCACACTGATGTTGATTGCCTTTCGCGCGCACCCCTCGCGACGACATCGAGGGGTGATGATACCGATGGCCATTTTCTTTGTGCAGTCAGTGAATCTGACTTGGCCCAACAACAGTGGAATGATTCAGAGATCCAACAACTTATCAAATACCTTCAAGGTCGCAGCTCGAGTCCACCATGGGCATTCGCACGTTCAGGGTCATTTTGTCTCCTCAACGACATCGTCTACAAAAATAACTTCGAACCTTATGCGACTGAGTACCTCTTCGTCGTTCCACCAGGGCTAGGTGCTGACATTTAATCTGCCTGCCACGACGAGCCTTCCTCCGGCCACCTAGGATTCGCACGTACCCTTGCCCGGATTCGGACTCGCTACTACTGGCCAAAGCTCACCCAGGATGTCAAGCATTATGTTAAAACGTGCAATCATTGCCAGCGCCGTAAAGCCCCACCTGTACGCCCTGCTGGTTTATTGCAGCCTGTTGCACCCCCGTCCCAACCGTTTGAACGAATCGGCATGGACTCGCGGCCCTTCCCGAAGTCACATGATGGCAACCGCTGGATCGTAGTCGCTACTGACTATTTAACGAGGTACTGCGAAACGAAAGCCCTACAACGAGGCACCGCCAATGAGGTTGCGTATTTTTTCATCAACAACATTGTCCTCCACCGTGGAGCGCCAATGTTCTTATCACTGACCGTGGAACAGCCTTTACAACCCAATTGATGCAAGACGTCACGAGACTTAGTGGAACAGCTCCTCGCAAAACAACCGCATACCATCCACAAACCAACGGTCTTACGGAGAGATTAAACAAGACGCTCGCTGACATGCTATCTCTGTACGTCGACCATGATCACAAAAACTGGGATGCAATTTTGCCATACGTAACGTTCGCTTACTACACTGCGGTTCAAGAGACTACGGGTTTCACTCCCTTCCGGTTGCTTCACGGCCGAGAAGCAATTACGATGCTTGATGCCATGCTGTTGCCTGACACAACCGATATTACTACTGATGCGAACGACTTTATCCGGCTTGCCGACGCGGCCCGCCAGCTTGCACTCGAGCGGATCCGAAAACAACAACGAATCGACTCGCAGAGGTACAACTCCCGTCATCGCCATGTTATTTACCAACCCGGTGATCTGGTCTGGCTGTGGATCCCTGTTCGCCAAAGGGGCCGCTCGGAAAAGTTACTTCACCGCTACTTCGGTCCCTATAGAGTACTACGGCGCCTCACAGATGTCAACTACAAAATTCTGCTTGAAGACACAGCTCAGCGATCTCGATGTTCCCAGCAGGCCGACATTGTTCATGTGTCACGGATGAAGCCACACTACCCCCGAGCCACCTGACACTGCTTCATCATGCGTCTTTGTGCGTGTACGCGATTACTTTAACTTTTAATCGGCATTGGTAATCGGGGTGGTACTTTTTTTTTCGAAGGGGGGGGGGGTAATGCCACAGGCATGGAACGAGGTTTAGCCATGCCAATGCGAGTATGTGCCATGGTGTGAAAGAAGAAGAGGGCAGTTAGTGTGCTCGTGCTCTAACGTTCGGTTCGGCTCGACGTCCAGTGCTGCTCCTGTGAACAGACGTTGTGGTCGTTCTGTAATCACGTGACAATATGATGTGTGGGTGAACAAGCCACGGTGTTACCGATAAGCATCGCAGCTTCGCCCCACTCACCACGTAGATATGGCGGGGTATCTTTCTTCATAGAAACCTTTGAATCGTTGTTTTGATGTGTAGTACGTGAAAGATGACGGGACAGGACGCTTGAGCCTATAGGCAGACCCGCATCGGGGAAGTTCTTTCGGGGGGTGGGAGTGGACAAATGCTTAGGAAAACACCTGTTTTCATAATTTATTTACATATTTCTATAATTTATTTTCATAATTGATTTGTTTACGCCCTCCTACATAAAAAAATTGAGAGGGGCGGGAGGGGCTGAGCGGGCATCTAGGGTGCCCGTTTCCTGGCTACGCGCCTGCTATCAGGTGCTTATCGATACACGCGGTCATCTCTGCTTGTATAGTCGAAACCACACAAAACGATGTAGAATCAGTCGACCACGACGGTAGTCATGTGAGATAAGGCAAAACTGGCGTGTGAATGTACAGCAAAGCCCAACAGCAGACAATTCACAACTGATATGCCTCGTATATGAAACAATCAAGGCTACCGTGATCGAGGCCTCATTTCCTCATGACGTCACGTAAACAGACTGCTGACGTCGCAAAAAAGAGGGGAACGCCAGGAGAGAATAACCCAGTCGCTCTTTGTATCTTCAGAGGTTGTTTAAAGGGAGTCAAAAGGTAAATACTAAGTCGACGTTGATTGTTGAAAAGGATGTCAAGAAACCTAGTAGAGCTAGCTTTGGGCCAAGAAAGCACTATCTTGGAATAAAAGCACGCTCTAATGGTCCGCATCGCGTTAGCGCACATCAAATCACCCTCGCACGAAAGCGGACTCCTAGACATCGCTATTTCCGTGCCCAACGTTGCCCGCCTTTACTACGCGGCCACCGACCACAATAGTCGTAGACCGAAAGTAGCGGGAGCCACATTAGCGACAACGGTCATCTAACAATTTTACCAATCTCAGAGGTCTTGAATTCGCTTGCTTGGTTCAACTGATCTCCGCTTGAAGGCGCCACCCATCCAGCCTGACCAGCCTAAAATTGAACTTTTTAACTATTTGCATAATGTTCCATTGTAACTCCAGGCGGTTCTTTTCTTTTTTTTAAATCAAACAAAAACTGACAAGCAGCATTTTATTACGTCTACTCATGCACGTAAACTTCTTTTTGTATAGGAGCTGGTTCGATCAGTAGTGATTAAACTGAGTCAGCCACTCTCACGTCATCGGGATCATTTCGCCAATAATGCACTCGTGGCGCACATCGTGTGATACATTTAGCTTAATTTCTTGATAAGCAAGGCACTGCTGTTGATGACATGGCAGTTTTAGACGTCATATATTAAGCGTTCACTTTGACATAAACCGTCCTTTGCCTTTAGTGTCCCCTCAAGGAGACCCTTAAGAAGAGGCGACATCGAATAGAAAGCGTCACGTGCCTCGGCATGGTAGTTGATGCAGATGTCGGGCCTCTGTCTGGGCAGGCTGCTCTGGTTGCAGAAGATGGCCTCGTCCTGGACCACCTCCCGCTGCGCCAGTGGTGCGGGCGTGCTGGTGCAGTTGCAGTCGGTGAACACGGCCAGCATGACCAGGTTGCTGGACGGCACCGGCTGCACGATGAACTGCTTGTCGCAGCTGCGGTCGCTGCACTTGGACAGCTTGCCCTTGATGGGCTCCGGCTCCATGGGCTGCATCTCGAACAGCTCGATCTCCATGTCGCAGGGACGCGCCCGCGTCTTGCTAGGGATGGGCAGCGCGTCGTCGGCCGCGTAGTCGCCGTAGTCGTAGTCACCTGCACATGCGCACTCGCGTTGCTCTCGCTGCACTACACCGATGATCATGTCTACGATTACAGAAAGCTGAACAAGTTGGCAAAGACTCGTCTGAAATAAACGCTTTACAATCCGCCCACCCTCTCCCGAGTCGCCGGCGAAGGAAACGAAACGCTTCGTCAGCAGTTCGGCGCCCACACATCCACTGCGCATGTGCACCCCACCCCCCTCTTTTCACTCTCCTACTCGGCCACCTCCCTACGCTCACCGTAGAAGAAGCGCGCTCCTCTTTGTTTCTGACGGACAGAGCGCGTCTGCTTTAGTTAGCACGGGATCGCGTTCGATGTCTCTGGCGTGTGTGTTGAAGAACCAGCGGTTTATCAGTGCTATAGTCATGCTCATCGGCATCAAGCGATGGTCACCGGCAGCGTTAGTAAGGTAGAGAAGTTCTGAATGGGGGTGCACCTGCTTAAGGCCACGTAGACGTGTTTCCCTGGGTGCCGTTCACCATCTCCCCGCTGCTCTGCATTCACACATGATTCCCTTTAGCGAGGGATGGTGCAGTTTTTATTTTTAAGTTAAAGGCGAATTTCCCACGGGGCATCCACGGCCATTGACACTAGTTTGACGTTATCCTATACTGCACTAAACCTGGCGACATGACACAACAGTCTTGATAGTTGTCACGACACCTGGTTCCAAAACTTCCAAAATGGGCGCTTGTGCGTCTCCAATGGAGCCACGGCATGGAGTGGCCGTGGAGACGTCCCGACATCTTGCACGAACGCGCGATGAGAAGCTCGTATTCGGTTGTGACGTCAGGGTACAGCAGAAACCGAAACTATAGATTTTCAAAATTTCCTGTAAACCCCTTTTCAGGGAGCACTCACGTTTAGCAGTACAAATTCCTGCGCCGTGACAGCTAGGCCTTACATTCGATACAAAAAATAGTATTAAAAATTTGTGTAAGCACACTCTTATGATGAAGCACGAGTACTCGATAATAATAACAATATATTATTAAAAGGTGGGGCTCAATGCGTGCCCCAAAAACCGCGTGTTTAGAAAAGTCGTTAACGATTTTGAGTACTTGGTACTTTACTATGGGATAGAAGAAAGCCTTCCCGTGGACCTCACACTATATGAGGCCGTGGAAAAAGTCTCAAACGGTTCAGAGTACTTGGTACTCTACAAGGGATAGCATAAAGCCGTCCCCCGTTACGTAAGCAACAATCTACCATTAAAATGTGTTTAGAAAGAGTGGTTAACGATTTAATAATGATTGATATGTAGGGTTTAACGTCCCAAAACCATCATATGACTATGAGAGACGCCGTAGTGGAGGGCTCCAGAAATTTCTACCACCTGGGGTTCTTTAACGTGCACGCAAATCTGAGTACACGGGCCTACAACATTTCCGCCTCCACCGGAAATGCAGTCTCCGCAGCCGGGATTCGATCTCGCGACTTGCGGGTCAGCAGCCGAGTACCTTAGCCACTAGACGACCACGGCGCGACAGTGATTAACGATTTAGAGTACCCGGTACTTTTGACGAACATTCAACAGGAGTACTGTCGCTTTGGTGCTACAAATAAGGTAGTATCAAGGTTGATTGACGGAAACAAGGATGTTTTGTTGTTGCGGGTTTTATGGAGGATCCACGAACTTTGCAAAAAATATTATAGGTGATCTGATCATCAACACTACGCTGCATGAATTATTTTCTTCGGAAGCAAAAATCTTTCATGGAATCATGTGGGCTTTCAACGCTATTCGGTGTCGCACAGAAATTTGAAGTTATGTATCTGGCACTGCAGGAGTAAAGTGATAGAGGGCTCGTCAGCAGTGCGCGAGAAATTGAGCGGTTCTTAGTGGCGCCCAAGCAGGATTAAAAAAAAAATTGCTGGAGTGGAAATGATTGCGCAGAAGTGAAGCCGTTCCTCTGGCAGATTGGCGGTTATGGCGGCCATCTTACTAGGGGCATGATAAAGTATCACCGTTCAGCGATTAAAAACAAAACATTTCCCTCGCACGCCCAACGAGTTTAATGTGGGAACTTTTTCGGGCCACATAATGCTCCAAGTGCATCTTAATGTTACTAGTTTTCCATAGTGAGCCTCTAATTGGAGGCAAAGTTCTTTGAAGATTCAGTCATACATACTTGTTTGTGTGTTATTTCGTCGGGAACAACTATCCTTTAATATATACTTAACGTAGCATTTACAAAACGTATCAAAGCCACTTGATCTTTAAGTGGGCACTATAAGAAAAGAACATGTTTCTGCCATCTTGGCAGTGGCAAAAGGTGGCTTCACTTCTGCTGGCAAGGCATTGCAGGAGCTTCCACTCCAGCAATTTTTTCTTTAATCTTCCTTGGTGGCGCCACGCACCCTCAAGTACCCTGACTTGTGGGTACTCCCTCAGGGTGCCCCCAAAGGGGAAGGGGTACCCCAACTAGCCCGTCCGGATACGTGGGCACGTACACATAAATATGAGTGGTCGCTTTTTATCTTTTGTTCCCTCACCTTAATCCCATTCCCAGTATCGACGCTGTGCCATACCCCCCCCCCCCCCCCCTCTGTTTACACAAATTTGTAAAATGTAATTCTTGTTTACAGGGTCTTTTGTAGCCACAAACAACAATCCAGCGTCAGGCACTTCGACAGGGAAAGTTACCTTCCTTTGAAAGTGCTTACCTTTCGCAAAGTATAGGACGTACACTCACGCACAAAAAGAAAGCCAGAAAGCCAGAAATGAGATGGAAAACAGCAGGCAAGATGGGCATTTACTTTTGATGTTTAGTCCCTTCGTTTCCTACAATAAATGGCGGTGCTCACAGAGGGCGGCTTTGTAATGGCCTACATTTTTTTTTAAACACGAGCTTGACTGGCTGACCCAAGGTAGTTGGCTCACTTAATACGTTAACAGCTGATGATTTGGCAAGAGACATTCCATATGTAACTCGTAATTTCCTACGGCCTCGTTCGGCTGCCTCAACAGACGTAGTATAAGCCTGTCACGTGTTGTTATCCTTACTTATTCGGCAGCCTGAAAACGCTGATCCCGCAGTTCAGGTATAATGGGAATCGCTACATTCAAGCAAGATTTTGGGCGAATTGCGCATCTCGCATGCGTCCCATTACGCGTAGGCGATACATTGCTACATGTCAGCAAGATGTCGTAAATGTATCGGGAGCTTGCAAGAAACGCGGTAAAAGAAACGGCGATCAACATGAACATTCGCCTTATTGCAGGCAGCACCACATGCGGCAGACTCGCACGTTGAGATTCCTGCCACCGACATAAAAAAAATGAAATAGTTTAGGCGAAGCTTCTCAGTGATAAAGCGAGAACGAATTAGATGACTTCTCTCTTACTTGATGTGGCGATCCACTCCAGGCTGAACACGTTGTAAACCTCGAAGTGCATCGCCAGCCTGTTGTGTCGAAAGAGAACAGGACAGCTGTATGTAATACGACCATCCACGATGCATATAACAGTTCATCTGGTACAAAAAATTAAAAAAAGGCGTAACGTACACGACAAGTTTTTTCCAGGCCCAGGCCAGTATGTTCCACAGTGCATAGAACGGCTGAAAAGAAAACGGAATAAGAACTACAGCATAGTCATTACGTAAGTGACGAAATAACTTTTTTTATTCTACGAAAAACACAGCAAACGAAGAAGAGAAGCCGGTATTATGCTGTGCGCAACAAACGAGAGGAACTATGCAACCGTCATCTGTGGTCCTCAGTGCCAGCTTTTCAATGGAACTGAAAATATGCTTTCTGGGTAATAGACGAAGATCTTGCAGCTTTTTTTTTCTTACTAAATGCACATGCCCGAAGTATTTTTGAGAGCTGGATGCCCGTTACGGACGCCATGTTTAAGATACTGTTGGTTATTGGACCTCTGAAGAGTGGTCTGTTTACCCGTTGCAAAGGTTTTTCCCTGTGAATAGATGGCGGCAGCAAACACAGCTTCCGGGTGAGATGTGGATTATGAAGATTTCTTTTATCTATTTGAACTGCACAGTTTAAGAGACAAGAAAACTCTGGTGTCCGTAGTACTTCCGGACACGGCAGGCTGTCATTTCCTTGTCTGTCCCCCGAGGCTCTGTTGTAGCTCTGTTGTGTCGGCAGGCTTCCGTAGTGCTACAACATACTTTTGGCGTTTTTTTTTTGAGCAACATTTCTGTTGCAAGAAATTGGTGCCCCTTGTGACAACACGTTTTCCGGCGGCACTACAAGCATTTCTTGTATAGTACTTCAGCTCTCGGCTATTGTAACAAAACGTACAAAGTACACAGCTCTCCACCCTTTTCCCAGATCGCACGAAAAGCACAGGGCACAATCAACAAGCCAACCGCGAGAAAAGCAAATGTGTGCATGAGCTTAGAAAATATTTTCCTCGCTGTTTAATTCTGTGTCACTACTTACGCTGGTGCGAAAATTCGCGGGTCCGGATGGTGTCAGCTTGTCTTTGCAGATAGCTTGGTAGTCGTAAATTCGCACCCTGAAAAAAAAGTGAAGTCGAAATAAAGTTAACGAACTTAATTTTTGCTTTTGTGGATTACTCTGTCCAACTACGAAAAAACATACTTTTGAAAACTTCACCTTTTGTAAACGTTGTACTTGACCATTGACAGGAACAGCGTGTCGTCTATTTCACCGAAAAACTTTCCGACCTGATAAGGGATGAGGAAAAAAAAACACAAAAAAAGAACAAATAAATTTTGACACGTAGTCCACGTAGGGTACTGAAATGACTCGCAGAGCATGCATCATTGTCATTTCTATGAGTCAGAAAAAATTCAGTGTAATTTGTTCTTGAATTCATAATCCCCTTTAATTCAATGACTTGGAGAACACATGTTCAACTATTTTGAGTGCGACGCAGTCCCTATTTGTTTTTTTAACGTCTCGCCAAATAATTATGCACGTGAATGAAATTGCGCACATAATAGATGTCTGCATTACACAACTGCCTATGAAACTCGAATAAACCTGACTGCATTAAAAGCGAGAGAAAAAAACTGGCCGCGTGCCTCCGTGCTTCGCTGCAAAGGACGTCGAGAGACGTTAGTCTTCTGTCTGGAGGCGCTGCGCGAGATATGGCGCCATCTGGCAGTAAGGTGAAGAAACGATTTTTTTTTTTTAGAATGCAGAGCTACTGGTAGGTGAAAGCACTAGGTCGTTCTAGTTAGAGTTCCCTAGTTTTTTTAGCGGAGCGTAGGAAACACCCACTTTTTAGTTCATGGCGTCGCAATGTCAGTGCAGCGTATTAAACACTTCGGTCTTCAGAATTACGTATCTATGCACTTTTTAAAATAAAGAGACGCACTGCCTAACACTTACACGTTGATGGTACACTTCAAATATGCGTGATATTTGTTTTTTGATAGATAACACTCACAAGTATAAATAAAATCACCAGATGGGCGAACTTTAAGCACGGGCTGAAACTTTTGCCGAGCAGCTGATTCATTAGACAGACACCAGCAGACAGACCAGAATTTTCACGCTGACCTAAGTATCCAAAGAAAGACAACCGTCTTAAAAAAAGCTGAAAAAATTCGTTTCTACGTAATAAACTTTTTGCAATAATTCCACTTCACATTTTAAGCACGTGCTCAAGCACTGATGATAGACTTACTTGAGTGCGGTTGCTCGACACAATGATGAAACCGTTGTTGTCTAACAGGAAACAGTCCAAAGCCTGTAGAACGCAAGAGGAATAGTGTGTTAGCACAGCGGCAACTGTGGTTTTGTTTTTAAATTCTATGGTGGGAACAATGCAGGATCTGTCTAGAACTTAAGTGTTTCCACTATGTTTATCATTCTTTATATCTTATTATACGCCATGACTTGGAGACACAAGCCATTATTAAACCATTACACGGAAACTATGGATCGGAACTACGGAGGCTAAATTCGCCGAATCTAAGCGTATCCCCTGCAGGGGGGCAAGGGACTGAGAGACGAATCTTTACTTTTGTCCTTGCTGCGTACAAACGAGGTTGAGTTCCGGGAGACTAGTCCTACAGGAGCTCCCTTCCTCAGGTGGTAGTCAGACCTTGAGTAAAGAGGCAATTGGTGTCATCGCCACGGCAGTAGCGGCATTGTCCACGAGCGAAAAACCATCTCGATTGACGCGATGTGCAAAAACCTGGAGCTGGACTACTAATGCTCGCACTGACACCAAGTTTCTCAGGGTTAATTGTTCTTGCGAACAAAGCAAAGTAACTATGCCGCAAAGTGAATTGGGTGAATTTAGATTGGCATTAGTGCCATCGAACGCAATGCTTCCGAATGCGAGACAAGCACGCTTCCCAAGCTCGATGACGGCTTCTCGGCCAAGCTAAATAAACGGGATTCTGGATGGCAGGCCTTGAACTTACCAAAGTGCACTCTTAAAAAAGAATGTGTTTGCTAACTCTACTTTGACGCATGCGAGTGTCACACGTATACCACTCTCTTTAGAGTCAAGTTGACTCGCTTCAGGAGAGTCGTGCATTGACTATAAAGAGAGGGCTATACGTGTGACTGCATCGACTCTCTTCAGCAGCGTCATACTTTGCTTGTCTTTAGGAGAGTCGTACATTGACGACCTTTAGGAGAGTCATAAATTGACGCTCTTTAGGAGAGTCGTGGTACGCACGACTCTCCTAAAAAGAAATTCATCGGGCCTTTCTAAGGGGAGCTCCACACTTCTGATGCTCGCATGCGTAAAAGAGTTAGGTACTTAGAGGGTGGAACGCGATTGAAGATTTAGTTTGGGCGTCCTCGAAGTGTTTTTGCAGCGCCTAATGATAATTTAATACAGACACACCTATACCCAGGTAGGTGTACGCAGGCTTCTTGAAATGTTGACTCGAGGATTTAATTCTTGGTACGCCTTAGGTTCGTGCCGCTGAACGCCTGATGTCTCAGAGCATAATTTTTGAACACTAGGAACGTCTCTTTCTTGTCTCGCTGGACTTAATTCTCCCCTATTCAGTCCTTGTTCCCTAATCATCGCGCTGACAAAATATGTACTAGTCAGTGGATGAAAATAATGGGCAGTTAAAATTAGCTTTTATTGTACAGAAACAGTTTTGTAATCAAATTAAAGCTTATAATGTTAAAGACTGGCTGACAATGTAGCTGAAGAAAGAGAAATATTTCCTATCTTTAAATTATCTTCTCATGCGTACCGTATTTACTCGACTGTAACGCGAGGGGTGACTTTTCGTGGCGTCCGGGAGGAAAGAATAGTGTATTTCGGCATTGTATTGTAACGCAAGGTACTGAATTGCTATTAAATTGGTAGCAAAAATTCTGGGTCGGAAATTTGCGTTACGTTCAATTGAATGTGGTAATAAGTAATCGTGCGCGAGCCAAACAAATGAAGCGATGGTGCAAGAACTATCAAGTCAATGTTATTGCAGTTTCCACAATAAGTTTTACATACCTCATTTCCACAGGTGTACAAGCAGGGCTTCTGGTTCTCGCACTTCAGCAAGGGGGTCAGAGACACGAAGAGAAAAAAAAAAGAAGGCGACGGAAAGTTAGCGCACTGTTTAATCAAATTATGTACCGAGGTACTCATTGAAATCACGTGAAAAAAAAAACAAGACAAAAACAAAACTACCGCTGCGGACAAATTGAAACAGCGCCTAAAGGAAAGGCATGGCAAGAGGTGACATGCCAGGTCACTTGTTCAGGTGCGATTTCTAAGTGTCCGAAATTGACATCACTAATATAAGGACATGAAATCATTTAAGTTGACACTGAATGTTGAAATAGCGGTTCAGAAACTTCGTAGCGTTACTTTTGTGCCAAAAAGGTGGTTATATTGAAATAAAATCATGTTTTAGTGGTACGCACTGGTTTAGCGCACTTCAAAATACCCGCCTCAAGTAGAACGTCTCATGTCACTGCGGCCGTGCACAACGTCGCCCGGCTTTACTGCGCTGCCGCCGAAACCAGTTGCAGCAAAACGTAAGTAGCGGGAGCCACAGCAGCAACAACGTTCATTGAACAATTTCCTCCCATGGAAGTGTAACATCACCTCTGCCAGATGGGAAGCGGCAATCCGCAGCTCGTCCTTGGCAGATCAGCTCTGGGCTGTCCACCAAGCCCGCGAGGCGGCTGGGGAGCTCGGCATCTCAGTCCCCACGTGGGAGCTGCCCACAACACAGTGATCTGTGTTTTGGAGGACCAATCCAATCCAATTCTGGCAGCTTGGGCTAGTTGCTATGACATGACGATGGTTATAGCGCGAGAACAGAACGACGACACAGGTCCTTCGTGTCCTTCTTGTCTGTGTTGTCGTTCTGTTCTCGAGCTATAACTATCGTCCTTTTCCTGCCATGGCCAGCGCGATGGCATATGTGCTTGGTTCAACTCGGCCCCGCCAGATGGCACGACCTGCTCAGTTCAACTAGGCGAAAATTGAACTTTTGAACCACTCGAGCCATTCCGCATATTAACGTACGGCGGTTCTTTTTTCCACGAATCAAACAGAGACGAACAAGCAGCATTTTATTGCATTTCTTGATCCACGGAAGGTTCCTTATTTAGCGCAACTAGTTCGATTACTAGTAATTAATTGTAGGCGGTAGGTCTGACGTGATCACTATGATTTTGCGAATGTACTATTCGTAGTGCATGTGATCTCGTCCATTAACCTTAATTTCTCGGTAAGTACGGCACTGCTGTTGATAACATTATCGTTTTAGACGTTGTCATACATTGAGCTTTCACTCTGACGTAAAGTGTTAATTAACTTTATTGTCCCATAAAACAAACTACATCTCATCGTCTCGAAAGGGACTGCACCTGCGTATCAAATTTTCCATTTTGGAGTGTACAGGCAGGGATACTGACTACTGTACTTCAAATGGCCTTAATGGCTGCGTGATAATGATGAGTAATTAAAGCGTTAGAGTGGTGTACTCATGAGATCACTGTCACTGCTTAAGTGATTGTGTGGACGACGAAAACCTTCGTTCATGCCCATTACGCCTTAAAATCGCAAGAATCGGTTCTGTTCATTATTTCTTTAAAAATTCCAAGAGTTCAACGCTATGAGGAAAAAAAAATCGCACCGTCTCCTACCAAATGAAACCACGAGTAGCATGCGAAACAGCACATGGGTCTACTTGAAGTTCTGTTCATCATGAGCACCTTGTCCGATGTTAACGCTTCTTCGAAGCGGAGCACACCATGAGTTCGCTGTATTTTCTGCTGGAGCACGCCACTCGAGTGCATTGCCACGCTTCGCGAGAGCTCGTGAGGCCTTCGCGTGTCTTCAGAATCTATGGTGTCATTCATTGACAGAATCGGAACACTTCCGGTAACGCTTCCTTCAGCTCCACGCGGAGCAAGTCTATTTCATTGGCCGATCGCGAGTGCTCCCTGCATGTTCCATTGGCAGATCAGCAGTATCGACTCCGTCGCGAGATCCACTCTGTGGAGCAACTTTTTGTACTCCGCGAATACTGGCGGATTGGACCAAAAGTCGCAAGCACCCCTTGCCTTGAAACCAAATGAAACGGCGGCAACATTGGGCGCGTCGACGGACGCTGGTCGCGTCGAATGCGCCTGGCGTCAAAGCTCACGTGTTGCTCGCGTAAGCATCACTGCACCCAGCATGACCACTCATGCAAGAAGAGAGAGACGCACGCATTGCGTTCCATTCTGACCCTGCCATTTGCTCCAGAAGGAGCGCGTGTGTTCCATTGGAAAATTGCCCCCTGTTGGCCTCTGCCAGAGTGGAGTGCTCCGGCGCAGATTTTGCCAGCTACTCCGAATCTGGCAATCGATGACACCAATAGTTTCCCCATGCCATCCCGCGATTGCTGAGAGAGTGTAAGGGGGAGAGGCCACATCCTCTTGTGGCTTCTCCCCCTTACAGTCACTCACGCAGGCTCGCACGCGCTATCGCGTTCCTGCGCGTTCACATAGAATACAACCTAGGACGTTAAAGAAAAAAACAACTGCTGTAGTGGAAGCTCCCGTAATGTTTTGCCAGCAGTAGTGAAGCCAGCTTTTGCTCTCCAAAGATCTCAGAAACATGCTACTTTCTGGTGGTGCCCACTTAGAGATCAAGTGCTTTGATTTGTTAGTCTAAAGTCTGTGTTATTAAATATAAAGTATAGTTGTTTGCGAAAAAAAAATATATATACCACAGAGACCAGTATCGGCAACCTAATCTTCAATAAAATTTGTCTCGAATTTGAGACTTACTAAAGAAAACTAGTAACACAAGGACACAACTTGAGCACTAATTGACCCTAGAAGGTTACCACGTTAAACTCGCTGGGCGTGCGAGGAAAACGCTCCTTCTCAGTCGCCCAACGCCAGCAGATCATCACGCCCCTAGTAAGATGGCTGCCGCAGCCGCCATCTTATGATTGGCACGGCTTCACTCGTTGGCAAGAATTCCCACTCCAGCAATCTTTTTAAACTACCTTGAATACAACGCGTTGGTTTATCGCACATCTGCAGTATTTCATTCCCCCATGTTATTACGTGATTGCTGAGAAAGTGTAAGGGCCTTTGTAAGCCTGCCTTTGTAAGCCCATTACAAAGGCAGGAACGCGGTTGCGCGTGAGCGCGTTCTGGCAGTGCTTGGGCCAGCTGTTGCTCATGTGCAGTAAGGATGGTAACCCATATCGCATAGAGCTTCGCCATAAGCATGCTTCGCACCTAAAGGCTTATATGAGGTATATTTCTAGAACAGAAGAACAATCGTCATGTACTTCACCTACTTCTATTGTGTTACGGTCCCGCGCCCAATGAGTCCCTGAAACGAACAGACCTTTGAATGTTTATAAACACAGGCCTTGATGACATCCGGTTTTAGAAAATTGCCTGCTGATTCTCTACAGTTTCCTTTCCTTATTTGGCAAAATATATTCAAATAAATCTTCTCTTGAGCTACATGAAAATAGAAAAGATTCTTTTCTACTTTACGCACGTTCTTTTTATGTGAAAAACGAACGAGAGACTTTCCTTAGATTCCTTACCCTCGAAAAGAACTTGAAAACGTAGCTTTCAGTTTCGACGTTAGGAGCTGGTAAATGAGGTGACCGGAAGTTTTTCGGGGCACAACGCTTGCAACCTTGAAACCGTCTATACTCGCGCATAAATGAATGAACGAATAAACACTATTTAGAGTCTGGCAGTTTTTTTCGGGCGAGGGGGGGGGGAGTTTACTCCAGTGCCTTCCCACTCTCCGTCGATGAATGTGGTGGCGGTGCCTCAGGTGACTGCTCAAAGCCATTGTGAACCCATGCGGCGTTTTCGTTTAATACTCGCTCAGAAGTGTATTTATTTGTGCGCAAGTATATCCGCACTCGCACTGCCTAGCGATGCAGGGCTCCGCCTCAACGAGCCGCACTCTCTACCCGGGCTATCTTCCTGTCTTCCGAAGTCTACTGCCAATCAGACAACACGGCTCTTTCATTGAAGGATATAACCAATTAATACATGGAGGAACACCGGTGCTACCCGCACCCTTGTTAGGGACTGCATCGCGCTAACGAGTGCCTCCTTTTAAAACTGTTTACCAAAACTGTACTGTGCCCAGCGGTGCTAAAACATTTCAACTCATCCTCTGATGGACCATGCCAGTTCTGTAAAGAGGTGGCTGACACCTTGCACATAGTCTGGGCGTGCCAGTCAAATCCATCTATCCCCCCCAACCCCAACCCCACGAGAGACGACTGGAAGGCGGCCCTGCTCGGCTGTCAGGACTTGAAGGCCCAAAAGGGCCTGCTTCAACGGACGCGGGTGGCATCGCTCGCCTGTGGAGATCCGGAATAGGGCTTTTACCTAGTGCTGTGAGGAGAGGAGGCCAATAAGACCCCAACCCAATCACCTCTATGTAACCATTTAATGGTTATTGAATGTTTGACCACCCCAATTTTAACGACCAACCGGTACACTTTCGTGCCCTTTCGTGCCCGGCCCGTCCATTTGATTTGCAATCAAATGTAATTGCTATTAATTTACACGACCCGCTTCCCTCGACAACTTATGGAAACAAATGAATATTTGTCGGCGTAGATCACATCCCGCGTTACACGGAGACTATACTGCTTTACCGACAGCAACAGCGAGATAAATCACGTTTTCCAGCTTACGCAAATTATACAAAATCAGTGCAAATAGAATTGAGTGCGAGAATAAAAGGACACAATGCGAGAGCTTATTTTGTACAAGATGCATGCAATTATTCTCGCCCACCTATACATCTCATTGCCATCTCACACGATTTTTTCTAACGCCACCCAGCTCACCGAGAACGTTTATTTCATAGAGAATGTCGTGTTTTTATGTTCGAAGCTATTGAAGCCTTGCTCATTCAATGCAAAGTCATTCACAGCATGATAAAATCATATCAGTAAACCCATGGCCTTATCAAACGATTTAGTCGTACATGCTCTCGGTGATATGCTGACAATGTACGCCGCATCAGACCAGATAAACTAGGAATGCGTTTTT